CTGACCACCACACTTGGCGCGTCGCCGCCAGGAAGATCAGACGCATCGTCCGGATAAACCAAGAATGCGAGTGCGATGATGATGTATAGACCAAGGAGCTAAAGTATGTCAGCAACACACTCTTGAATCAGCCTCAAGAAACTTTGTCGGAACTTACCATAGCACCCTCCAAGTAATTACTCTTTCCATCCTGGATGACGTACGTCACAACCAACACACTTAAGAAAAAGACGACCGTCTCAAAGGTCTGGAAGTGAAGAGTCATAGGTTGACCAATAATCCAACCCAGAATGACCAAAAAAGGTGTGACGAGTAGTGCAATCTGCATCGAGCTTCCAATAGCAACACCCATAGCGAGATCCATCTTATCCTTCACGGCTACCACAACGGCTGTAACATGCTCCGCGGCATTGCCAACAATCGGAAGGAGAACGAGGCCGATGAAAGTCTTGGAGATATGGGCGGTCTCGACGAGAGAGTCGATCGAGTCAACGAGGAATTCGGCGCAGACCGCGACTGCGAGGGTGACGACTACAAGGACCCCTGCTGCTGCCCACGGACTCAATTGTGGCTCTTCCTCCTCCTCCTCCTCCTCCTCCTCCTCCTCCTCTCCAGATGCATTCTCGGCATCGAACAAGCTGGCGTGAGTTCGGAGTTGGAAAACAAGGTAGAGAACGTAGAGGATGAGAAGTATAATGGCTGTGCCGTGAGATAGAATGAGGATGTTTGCCTCCGAGTCTGCTTGGGACTTTGTAAGGGCGGCATAAAGCTGTAAGGGTTAGCTTTTGAAACGGAAGAGGATTGGACGCGTACAGTAGCAGGTATGATCATAGATGCCGCAGCGACGGTCATTAAAGAGGACATGGTCGATGCGACGGTTGAGTTGAAACCCTGCTGAATACCGCTCGCGGTACCTGTCCTCGTGTTGTGAATGCCACCAGCTAGAAAGCAGCATCCAAGCACAAGAAGGATGTTGGAAAGGATACTTCCCAACATACTAGATTGCACAATTCTGATTTGCCCTTCCCTCAAAGCGACAACACTGACCTACGTCTTGTTAGAAATGTTCGCGCACGTCTAGGTGCCCACTCACAATCAGTTCCACAGCATTGCCGAATGTAGCGTTCAAAAGACCACCCATCGTCTGACCGAGCTTCATGGAGATTTCTTCGGTAGCAAAGGAGAGAACAGCCGCCAACGGAATAATCGCAAAGAAGTTGAGAATGAAAACAACCGTGGGATTCCAGCCCATTGCACCGGCAACTATTCCAAGAGGTACGAATACCAGGAGGATATTGACATAGTTGCTGTACAATGTGACTTTAGTAGCTTGCATGATGTTTGCAGGATACCTCACGAACTTGTTTTCACTCTGTATTCCCGCAGTATGATTCTTCTTCAAGAAAAACTCGAAGAATTCCGTCAGCGAACTCTTCTTTCTCGCCGCTCCATTCTCCTGTCCTGATATCAACCCCGTATTCTCGTTCGCGGCGCTTCCGTTCGGTCCTGCCATGTCGCTTTGTCCGCCTTGCGACGATGTACTCTTCTTTCGAAAGCTTCCTCTCGCTCGCTGGATTTCTTTTCGAAATGGAGGTCCTGCTGCATTTCACCAAACCGCAGAGGTCGATAGTTAGCCCAATCACTCCACAATCAAAGAAGGTTCGTCTTGGCCCTTGACTATATGGCTGTGCTGGAAGATCTAACAAGTCTTGGAGAGAGTGCCTGGAAAGTGGCAGGTGGTACCTCGATGTGATATCGCCGGTATCAAGCGCATGTGATGATCTGATTAAATGCAGAAAAGCAGCAGGCTGACTGGAGAGGGGTAATATTGCAGCTCGCAGGAGGGCAGCGTATTGTGGATTGTGAAATTTAACGGCCGGCGTAGACGGAAGAGAGCTCCCTGGTAGCTAGCAATGGAATGCGGTGATGTGACCAATAGCAGATAGAGAGCGAAAGCGATTAGGGGAATATTGAGAGAAGCAAGGGACGGGTTTGAACTTACACACCATCTTGGCAACTTTTGCGCGTGGTCGATGGTTCACAAGTGGTTGCTCGTGCTTCGTCGGGCAAAAAGTGTAGAGCTGCTGCGCCTCGTTTGTCTGCGATAAAGTGGTACCGTACCGAATATCAGATACACCAACTGAAAAAAGCAGGGACCTGGGCGTTTTGAAAAGAGGGGCAGAAGTGATTCAGATTGAGTCGCGTGTGACTGTGACGATGAAAAACGAAGGAGAAAGTTAGACTTTGAAGAGCGGTCTGATGATGATGACTGTGGCAGGCGCGACTCGAGGAGTGAAGCTCTGATGCAGCTAGGAGATCGGAAGAACAACCAATGTTCGTGATGATTTCGTAACACAGCACGAGCAGGAAACTCACAGCCAAGACTCAAGTGCGAGCTCTGGACGTTTATATGAAAATGCTAGCTTTCAGCTACATAGCTCGCGTATCTCTGGGTGAATCTTGTTTTGTTGCGCCGGCTTAAGATCTTAGAGCTGGTTTCATTCGGAGCTTATTAACCAATGTACTTAAGTACCGTGCCGAGCACCTGCATATAAGACATTCGTCCCGTCGCCATGTTCATCACGATCAATTCTATCTATTTGCAAAAACAGCGCTCAAAAGCTCGTCGCAAAGCTTTCCCAACTCACTCGACTGCATCACCACATATCTTGTCAACACCATCGCGGGACCATCCAACAGAAGCCATGGCCATTAACAGATGTCGCTGACGTACGTCCCTCGACCGTTAGCTTGGCCCCTTGCACTGCCACTCTCAGCGTCGCTTGGCACGCGACAGCACATTAGCGTGGTGAAACGACAGGGCTTGACTGGGCCATGATGCAGCTTTTCCGACGACTGTGAACACTCAGCAATGCCAAGACTAGGAGCAAAGAGCAATATCCGATGATACCGCTGCAGCATTTGAGCCAATTGGCTGATGGACGAGAAAGGCGATGAGATATCGAGATTATTGATGGAAGCTTGATGTCAATAATATGTGGCAGGCGTTGCACCGGCTTGTTCTGATGGTGGAGAGAGAAGTGGAGATAATCCCCTGATATTGTGAGACGGGTATTTTCGTGGGGCTTGAGCGGCAAAATCCCAGTGTCGAGACTCGAACGGAAGAAAGCTTGGAGAAGCTTGGCAAGACAGCAAGTTGCTAGGGAAAAGGTAATGTGCAAGCAGAAGTGCCCTCAACAATATTGCCTCTGACGTTGCCGACGGAAGATTTTTGACAGGTCTAAGCCCCGTATGCGAGGACTTGGCAAGCGGAACTCGTGGCCTCGACACGGACATCGACAATGGACCCGCAAACCTCGAATGTTCGGAGCTTGGCTCCTCTTGCTGGCGGCCTCTGAGTGAGTTGAGCTCCCAGAATGTCTTTGCCACAACCTACGGCAGGTATATCGCGGAAGAAAGGGTTGACTGAACGTCTGAGCCTTGAGCCCAACAACTTGGCAGGCAGAAACTGATATTGGCATGACTACTCTGGCGCCTGCCGCACGCCTCCAAATCTAGAGATTTGCAACTCGATGTTCTGCCTTTTTTTAGCCTTGGGATTCCTGTCATTAAGTCGTAATTTCGTAAAGTCGTAAATTGTACATACGCCTATCCAGATCATATCCCCAAGGCGTCGTATTTCCCTGCAGCTGCCTTCCTGACAGCTAACGAAGGATAATTGATCTTGTTCTTCGAGCCCAAAATGTCGCTATCAGCCTCCTTCCTCCTCTTGATCACTCCATCAAGCTTCTGAAACCCCTCGAGATCCTTGCGTTTCTTGATCTCCCCGGAATAATTCTCGTCCCTTTTCAGAGCTCTCTCCACCAACTGCTTGTCCTTTCCCTCTCCACTGTGCTGGCGTTCCTTCTCTCGCCTCTCCATCAACCTTTTGTCCTTTCCCCTCCCCTTCCCTTTCTCCTCTCGTGCCCGTTTCTGTGCCTTCCTCAACTCCCTCTCCCGGGTCATCCTACACCTCTCCTCCTCCTCCTTGCTGACAACCCAAGGCTTCCCCAAAACATTCTCCCTAAACTCCCTGGTCTCGTTCCAAGCTTTCACCTCTGTATCCAACCCATGTATCACCTCTACCTTGATAATCTCAACTTGCATCTGACCCAGCCAATTACGACCCACCCTCCCCTTGATCTTCACAATAGTCCCAACATCAACCTCCACCCACGGCACAACAGGATCCTGGACCGAAGGAGTCTTCTTCTCCTCCCTCACCACAACCGAATTCATATTTCCCTTCCCTTTCCCCCTTTCATCTTGTTTAACCTTCGCAGCTTGTGCTTCGATAGCAGCAAGCTGCTCCAAATGCTTTGGCACATGAGGCCCGATCGTAGAGGGTGCATCGGGAGGTGCAATGGCCGTACACTCCACGCAAGCTCCACTGCTATCATCCAATGTATATATCCTCTTCTCCTTGAATTCATCCACTGCAACCACGACGCCGGTGACTTTGACCCATTTTATTGGGTGGTTATTAAAATGCCAAAGGATTCTCTCTAATTGCCAACATTACGATTAGCTTTGTCTTTCTTGAGAGCAAATTGAAGCCAGCAGACGAACAAACGAAGCAAGAAGATATAGAGAAAGAAAATTGACAAATACATACGCTCAGAAAAAGCGCCCACCACTTTCAAAACATGAACATCTCTCGCTCGCAGCGGGACCCACTTGCCAATCGTCGGAGAGAGTGTATGGCAGTAATCAGGGTAAATCGTGAGCTCTGAATCGTCGTCCGGGTTTGAATCGGGGAGCGCGGATGTCATGGCATGTTTGTTGAGTTGTGTCGTTGCTGATCGCGTTGCACAAGGTTAGAGGAAACGATGATGTGATGTTGACGTTGACCATCGCGTTGATGTGGAGACGCGTTTAAATTCGCGCGTTAGAAAAATCTCGTAGTCAGGCCGATTTTTTCGCGATGACTCACGACAACCTTAGGTGCTGCAATGATATAGATGTAAACAAGCAATTCTTATGTCATCAAAGCTCAAATCGGTGGTGTGGTGTAATGGTAGCACGTCAGATTGTGGCCGACTACAATCCTCTACAACAGATCTCTGTCAATCTGGGTTCGATTCCCAGCACCGCCATTCAGAGCCTAGAGTTGAGAATTCAAGGGTGGTTCAATTCCACTATGAGTTCGAGATTCAATTTTATTTTTATTTTTGCTATTCCCCTTGCCATTTTGTCCCTTCTTGTCTCTCGAATCGATTTTTAATTTTTTCCTTTCCAAATTTTTGTTAGAAATCCCGGCAAATTTTCACGCTAGTAAGGTTACTCGAACTTCTCAAAGGGGGTGCAGCACGTGTTGACCGTCATTGCGAACATCGAAGAAAGATGGTTGAGAACGAGACATGATGATAAGGAAAAGGAGACAGTGGGAAAGTTGCACTTCTGGAAAGAGAAATCATATTCATAAGTATCTTCATCCTATGTAGACGCCAGGCTCATATCCATCCTACCCATAACCTTCCATAGACGCCTATCAATGCAAGACCATAAGAACTTTTGCTCCCGCTTAAGCATGGTGCTTCGTTCTCTTCGACTTCTTACCCTCCCCGGCCTCATTCTCCTTCCTCTTCTTCAACCGCTTCGCAGCAGCTTGAAAGGCTTCCTCAGAAGGCTCCCCATCATCCTCATCCTCGGTAGCTCTCTTCTTTCCTTTCTTGCCCTTCGCCTTCTTCTCCTCCCCACCATACTTCGCCTCCAAATGATCAAAGAATGAAGCACCTTGCTTCGCCTGCTTCTTCTGAATCAACGACATCAACGCATCCTCTCCCTTAGTTCCTCCCTTCTTCCCAAACAGCTTATCATGCACCCCCAACTCCTTCGCATACTCCTCAGCCTCCTTGCCCTCACTCCTAGCAGCCTTCATCCTCGCCTCCTTTGCCTTCTCAGTCTCGTTCGCATACGCCCTAAAGCTCTGCACATCCCCCTTCTCAATCGCCTCATCAATGTAACCCCTAAACCTGTCCTCGTCCTCGAGACAATTACTCAACATAACCGTCTCATAGATACCGTGCCACTTCCCCTTGTACTTCTCATAAGCAGCAAGGACATCATCTTTCTCCTCATCCGAGTTCTTATATTGTTTTGAGAAGGCTTCGATGGCGTCCGGGGTGATGATGTCTTTGAATTGCTCAGAGTAGAACTCAGACCAGCTGAAGTCCTCGAAATCGATGGATTCAGAGGTTGAGCCGGTGATGTCGTAGCGCTTTCTGCGGATGGGGTCGGAGAGGATGGCGTATGCAAAGGCGACTTCTTGGAATTTGGTGTGGGCTTCGTCTTTCTTGTCTTCGGCGGCCTTATCTGGATTGTGATGTTAGCAGGTGTATGAAGAGAAGGCTAGCTTGTATTGTTTGGGTTCAGCTTCGACTTTGATGCGCGAGTCCTTGACCCTCAAAACAATGAAGTTGGCATTTGCAGCTTCGCTGTGTAATAAAAAGGTAATGCACATACCTGGGTGATGCTTCAGCGCAGCCTTGCGATACGCTGACTTGATATCATCAGCCGTCGCGGTCTTCTCAAGGCCGAGAACTGCATAGGGCTCAATCTCAGGAGGCTGCTCATCATCCACCATATCCTCGAGATCAATATCTTTCTTCGTCTTGCGTGGCATGTTGTCGGATTGATGAATAGTGATAGCTGGTTGTGTTGTGCTGGATATTGACTTTAGGGAGATGTTTCGGGAGACGCGCCGCGAAATCTTTGGCGTCGAATCGCGTAGATTTGCCGAAGCCTTGCAAAAGTAAGGAGTGGATAAATCACATGATAATTATAGATAATTATAAACATTTTAATTTTATATAATATTAGTTTAAATATTATAAAGATTCCAAATATATGATCAAAAGGCTTTCGGACGGTAATCATACTTAACATGTTCAAACCCCCAACAAATGCGAACGGGGGTTTAAGCTGCCGTAGTTAGGTGACCCATACTTGAAAGCCTGTACTCAGGCGGTCAGGCACGTGGTCAGACTTTTTGCCAACATCGACAAATTCATCATTCACCGTGATGAGGGACGAGATCGTGGATCATCGTGTACGAGAAGAACGTGAACGCTTTATCAGGGCAGTCGACCAAGAAGCTATCTGCCTCCTTGCATCTTCGTATCACAATGGCGAACCTTGCAGCATTTTCATGAAGTGTTCTCATGGGAGCTACAATCTTTGCATTTACGTCTCCTTTTCGCCTTCTGGAGATCGATGGGTTGTACGCATTCCAATAACCCCATGCCTTGCATTCGTGGATGAGAAGCTAGCGCAAGAAATTGCTGCCATGAGGTTAGCTCTGATTGTTGTTGATGAGTATATTCAACTGACAGTAAACAGATGTGTTGCAGAGAGGACAAAGATCGCTCTCCCACAAATCCACGGGTACTCCTTCCAACGCGATAGTCCTGTTAGGAAGCAACCGACATTTGACTGGCGATGGATGTGTGTTTTGAGTCCGGTGATGCTATAGTTTGCGTTCGAATTCACTTTCAAATTGTCGTTCCACTTGCTCAAAGTCCAGAATGAAGCTGAAGTCAAGCAAGGCCAAAGGCGAGACAAGCGAATCGAAGCGAGGTGTAAAAAAAAACGCTTGCAAATAAAATCTTTAAGATCAGATAAGTAGGTAAAAAAAGACAAAAAAGAACATAAATACATATGAACTTTTTAAACCTCTAATAAGCATGAAAGCTCGTCAAGTTGGGAATCGAACCCATATCATAGAGGATTTGTACTCATCATTTCTACTCCCCAGGTTGCAATTGTTAAGTTTGCACCACGGCAGTCAATTAAGCTACCGGATGCCCATTGCCCATTTCTTAATTCGAAAATTTATTAATTAAATCTATATCTACCAAAATCTTTTCGCCTAAGCTAGCACTGCACACCTAGCCAGATTTCAACCGAAGAAATTCACTTTTGGCCAACATGATTCCGAGTTTTCGATGGCACTGGAACTTCTTGAATGACATCAGATACTCCGTCAGTTTCCTATATTTGTGGCGAAGCTCTGTGCAAAGGGCGAGCAAAGGAATACACAAAGCCATCTTCACGCGATAGAGTTCACGACAGTAATCGAGCGATACATCTATGAGCATTTATCTTATGACACACCAGATCTCTTCACCGCAATGCAATTTCTACAACCTTCACCAATATCGGCAAGTGTTGCCTACATCGAGGTGCATTGCATGAAGCATGGTAGGAACAAGATGCGTGCGGACTGCTCTACTCAACAATTGTTCTATTCCGAGGCGATTTAAGCACCTAATATCTGAGCCGTCACCGAGAGAAACATTTCTACCGCATCTGTCATTTGCATTGCATTGTTCATCAGCTAAAGAGACATTTGAGAGAGCGGGTTATCCCAATAGAAGAGCGACCAAGTTTTCATCATACCACATTCTAACTCCTCTGTTGCTTTAGGGAAATTGCTGGGTGAAAGTCTATAACAGTTGAAGGTATTCAGAGATCGTAGGACTATCAAGAGCTTCCAGATAATCAGGAGATACAGATCGTGTTGAATGGGATCCTGTGAGGGGACGAAGGGCATTAGCCGGCTCACGATGTTGGGAGGAAGGGAGCTCGAGGACAACCGCCAAGGCTGAACTTAGCCATCAGCAATACGATACCATCAAGTGCTCGAAACTGGGGATCGGACTAGTGAGGAGAGTTGCAACAAACAATGAAGACGGGAGGCCCGTCGAGGGCCACAATATAAGTATATCTGGGGTCAAGACTCTTAGAGTATCGAGGTAGATTTGGGTGTCCGAATCTAGAACTGACATTTTCTGATTAACAATCCTTGTCTTGCTGATAGGTCATCTTCTACTTCAACTCGAAACGGCGTTTGAATTTACTAATTTCCTACTCTGGAGCACAGCACAGCGCAACACCAAATACCAACATCACAAAAGACTGCATGATTGAAAGGAATCTTCACTCTATTATGTACCACACAATCTCCTACACTATAAACATTGAAAAGGCCTCAACAACGAAGTGGGGATTTGAATGCAACGAAACCGCGAAGCAAGCAAACCAAGTTCCAACCAAGTAGACTCATCACAAATTTCCTCACCTCGCCATGCCTTCAAATATCAAGAGGAACGCCGTATGTTTCTTTTCGTAAAAACGTAACGCGTGTATATGCTTATAATCTCTTTCCCAACGCCGATAATCCCGGAAAGTAGTAGCGAGTGTTTCGTATTTGTGCATGGGGTATTAGAAACCAGAGCATAGCCGAATTCAAAGTCAAAGTCAAACCAACTCGAAGAAAAAGGACAAAGGTAGGTGATCAAGGATCGTAACCACCCGCAACACCAGGAGCCGGACCCTCGAGATCCACTGCCTCAACTGTGTTCTTGATACGCCCAGTCTTGTTGACAAGGTTGCCAAAGTACTTTCTCGCGACATCGCTTTCCATTCTGATTTTCTTAGTTTCTTCCTTCTTGGTGCCGAGCTGTTCGACCGAGCGTTGGAGGCCGACGCGAAGGTTATCGGCTGGGAAGCGGAGGACTTTGCGGACGGAGGAGGAGATGCGGTCTGAGTTTGCGTGGACGTAGTCGATGGCTTGGAGTTGGGCGGAGATCTTGGTGGAGAGGCGGTGAGGGAGAGACGTGGGAATTTGAGAGAGGATGTAGTACCCAGCTCCGATGACTGAGGTATGTTAGCATTTTTGAAAACGGAATTCGAGATGGGAAGCACTCACCAGCAACGACGACGCCGGGCACGATTAGCCTGCGCATATTGTTGTTTCCAACAACCTTAGCCGCCCCTAGCGCACCGTCGACCCAGCCCCAACCTCCTACCATACGACCGCCGACAGCTGTGGCAACTGTAAGAGCCATACCTGTTCCCGCCATCTTTTCTTGTCGTTGGATAATAGTAGACCAGTCGAAGAAGTCCCAGATCTCGGTCTCGACCTCGACTTGGCGAGCCAGCACGTCACGCTTTCTTCTGAACATGACATCGCTTCTAAAGCTCAGGTCGGTATATTCGTCGCCGAGATGTAAGAGACCGAGCTGTTTGATGGCGCTCACTCCCTCAATTGTCTTGGATCTTGCATGCTCCTCGCAATCTGTGACGGAAGTTG